AAGGCTCGTAGCCAGTGAACAGTGGCTGCAGACTGTTGCCCTCCACATCTCTGTCCCCCTGGGACATCTGCTGCCCCCCCCCCCCACCGGCAGCAGGCCGTCGGTCCCTGCTTCCCATCACCGTGCGGATAAGTGAGAGCCTAGGTGTGAAGCAGCTTCTGCAAACCGTTATTTAGGTAAAATACTGGGGAAGAGAACGGATGGCGATGGATCGATTGAGAAAATTCGCCCTGACAACAATCATAAGGACGCGTTAGGAGCTGACAAAGAGCAGAGACACCAAAATCCAAGGTTTTTTGGTGCCCCCCCCCCCCCGGAGATATTCAGAGAGGAAACACTGCTTCTGCTTGCTGTATTTTTACGGATTAAAGGGAGTTAATAGTTGATCGTTACCAGCGATGCCAAGCCTCGGGGTGATTTTGCCCCAAGGGAACACATGGCCAAGTTCGGAGATGTTTTTTTGGTTGTCACAGAGTGGGGGTGGCATGTAGTGGGCAGAGGCCAGGACTGCTGCTAGATTCTACAAGCACAGGCCAGGCTCCCAGCACCAAGGGTCACGAGTGCTGAGGTTAGGGAGCCATGGCCTATGTGGCCAAGGAGAAAATGCTTATAAACAAATTCCTTATTCCTTTTCCAGTAGCAGAGAACCGATGGTATGTTTATATTAAAACAAGTAAAAAAAAAAAAAAGAAAAGAAAAGAAACAAGTTTTACATGTAACCCCTCTTTCTTCTTTCTCCCTTTCTTTCTCCCTTTTCTTTCTTTCTTTCTTTCTTTCTTTCTTTCTTTCTTTCTTTCTTTCTTTCTTTCTTTCTTTCTTTCTTTCTTTCTTTCTTTCTTTTCTTTCTTTCTTTCTTTCTTTCTTTCTTCCTTCCTTCCTTCCTTTCTTTCTTTATTCTTTCTTTCTTTCTTTCTTTCTTTCTTCTTTCTTCCTTCCTTCCTTCCTTCCTTCCTTCCTTCCTTCCTCCCTCCCTCCCTCCCTCCCTCCCTCCCTCCTTTCTTTCTTTCTTTCTTTCTTTCTCTTCTTTCTCTTCTTTCTTCTCTTTCTTTCTTTTCTTCCTTCCTTCCTCCCTCCCTCCCTCCCTCCCTCCCTCCCTCCCTCCCTCCCTCCCTCCTTTCTTTCTTTCTTTCTTTCTTTCTTTCTTTCTTTCTTTCTTTCTTTCTTCCTTTCTTTCTTTTAGTGGCATAGGAAAGCTCCTGAGTGTGGCCCTGACGGAGACTCTGGATGGACGGGGGCATTAGAGGAAGGTGTTGACCCTTGAGGTGACCCGGCAAAAGCAGAGCCAGAACCCAGCTCATGCCTGGAAGGTGTGGGAGCGAAGGAACGTCACAGAAGGAACGTTGATTCAGGAGGAGGGTGGGCTTCGTCCTGCTTTGCCGCTTCTCTGGCCCGTGGCCCAGGGTAGCAGTTGCCACAAAGACATCAGGGTGGGCTGCTTGCCCCGGAACCACAGGCCCCGAAGGCTTCCTGCTGAAGCGGCCTGTAGTGGCCGCGGGGTGGCCCTGACGTGGCCGGGGGATGTGCCTTCTTCAGCCTTCTTCCAGCGTGGCTCCAAGCCACTGGCCACTACAAGCCGTGACAGTCACCTCTGCATGTCCCCGGGGTGGCGAGCGGGGGGCGGGGGGGTCTCTACATGGCCTAGGACGACATCCCCGTGTTGTTCTGCTCTCCACGGTCGGAGCAAATGGTTCTTCCCGCTGGTCCTCCCGGGAGGCCGCAGGTCTCCACTGACGTCCGTCTTCAGGGCCCGGAGCTTTCCACAGCTCCACCGGGACCTTCAGCCGCTGTGTCGCCCCCATCTCGTCCTCTGCGTCCGGCTCGAGCTTGGAAATTCTCCGACTGCAGCAGTTTGGGCCTGAGCTCCTGAGCCGGTTGTCGGTTGGTTTTCTGAGGATGGGGACACCGGACGGAGGGGTTCCCAGAGAGGTTCCCGGAGGGGGGACACGGTGTGAGCCGGGGAGGCGAGGGGGGAGCCCGGAGTAGCGAGGCTGTTTGCAGGCTACCAAACCAATGACTTGTTTTAAGGACCTGTTGGCCAATCTGTAGCAGAGTGGCCCAGGCCAGGAGCTCGAGGCGTGACTCGGGGGGCCCGGGCCCGAGCCTGGGCCAGCGGTTTCCAGCCTGGCCCAGTGCCCTCTTGGTCCCCACAGGCTCTCTGGGCCGCGCGGCCTGTGCTGGGGGCAGGTGGCAGCGCGGCTCAGGGGCAGTGGTGGGTCCATGCGTGCCCGGGGGCTCCCTCGCTGCCAGGCCTGCTGTCCCCGGGGAGCACCCATCCAAGCATCTCTCGGCTCGTCCAGCCAGCAGGCCGACGGGGTCCGGCAGGGGGGTGTCCTGCCGAAAGACGGCAGCCCGGCTGTTGCATCCTCCCAGCGCCTCCCGGTCCAAGATGCTGAGCCACGGCCGACGTGGCCTCGAGGTTGCAGGACCCGTGGCCTGGTCCTGGGGCGCCCGGGTTCCCCCCAGGGCTGGGATCGGCTTGTCCTCCCGGATCCCACCCGGGACGGGCGAACAAAGGCCAGAAGGGTGGTGGCTCGGGACTTGCTGTGTCCCAGGGATGCGGGACCCTGCATCTGCACCACCCGACGCCTCCACCCGTTCCAGCTTGGGGATCCTCGGGGGCGCCTGCCCTCCCCGATAATCTGTCTTTCTTTAGGCTTCCACCAATGGTGATCCTGTTTTTCCTGATTTTGAGGAGAGGAAAAAAAAATTCTCCATGCAGGCCGAGGACTCGGTTCAACGTGCAAGTCTCAGAGCATCGTGGCGTGTCCTCTGCTGCTTCGGGATCAGCTCGTTCATCGCTGCCTAGGAGCCATTGAGCTGCTCTGCAAGCACAGAGGGCCTCAAGCAGCCACCTGGCCAAGGGCTGTTGAGCAGACCGGGGTGCACACCTCCTTGTTGGGGGCACGGGGGATGGAGGCCCATTTCCAGCCTCCGGGTGGACCCAAGGAGAGCTTGCTGCAGGTGCCTTTGGCCACGACTCCCCGCCTCCCACAGGTGTCACCTGTAGTCTCAGGGGATGGGCACCAGGGGGCACCATCCCACCAGTGTTCTTTCTGGTTCTTTCTGGATCTGGGAACCACTGTCCTGTGCTGGCTAGTTTCCACTGAGGGTCAACTTTCTGCTCTCCCCAGGCCTCCCTGGCTTTTCCTATCTCCTTTCCCGTGTTTTTCTTTGGTTCTTGGGAATCTGAGGTACAGAGTTGATGGCCTCAATGACGGTGGTGAACATAATGCTAGTAGAAAACCTACAGAAACACTGATAGTGACCTGATATTGGAGGCTTATTATGTGCTAAGGGCTTTCAAGATATTATTTATTTGTTTAGTTGTTTATTTTTATTTTTTAATAAAGATTTTATTTATTTATCCATGAGAGATGCAGAGAGAGAGGCAGAGACACAGGTAGAGGGAGAAGCGGGCTCCATGCAAGGAGCCCCATGTCAGACTCTATCCCAGGACCTGAGGGTCATGCCCTGAGCTGAAGGCGGACACTCAACCGCTGAGCCACCCGGGTGACGCTCCAGATAGTATTTAAAAGTCTCACTGCAACTCTGCAAGGTTGTCTTCATTTTATGAACAAAGAAGCTAAGGTTCAGAGAGCTCCAGCAAACTTCCCAAGGACATACCCGCAACAGGGAGGTAAAGAGGGGCAGCATGAAAGCAAGTTGATGCAATGTCAGGGCATTACTGATCTTTGGAGCATTTACAGAGCTTGCACATGGGTATAGTGGAGGGAAAAAACTAAACAGGAGTCCAGCCTTTGTGAAGTTCATGATCTAAAAGAGGATATGGAGTAAAAATAAAGGGGGAAAGAAGTAAAAGCAAAAATAAAGGAAATAGAGCAAGTTATCTGTGATGAGAATGAAAAAAAAGGGACACATATATATGACATTTGTAAGACTGTACATTTAAAAAAGGTGTGAGATTATTGGGAACATTTTCCAGGTGTAGAGTCGAGAAGACATCCTTAAGTCGATTCTTCTCTTGGAGTAGTTCTGAAGACAAGAGTGATAAGGTCAGAATAAAGAGCAGCTATCCTTGGGTTCAGCTCTCAAACTTGTGAATCCTTATTGTTAACTGTGGATTTTTTTCTTTGTTGTTTTTTTGTTTGTTCATGACACTCGAATTTGCTCCATGTCCTTGGAGGTGAAGTCTCAGCTACAGCTGTATGCATATGTGACGGAGACCTAGATAAAATGTTTTGAGAGTTTATACACCCAAATATTCCAGGTTATCTATCCCATAGAACCGTAAGAACAGCAAGAGTCAGGAATCTCCTCATACTAAAATACATGAAGGTTTATTTGCTGGGGGGCTGAGCATTCCACCTGGGACCTTGGATGTGTCGCTGCATTTAATCTTAACACAACCCCGTAAGATGTGCATTAATCAGTATTCCCTCAGGACGTCGAGCTTAGGCAGGTTGTGCAAATTCACCAGAGAGTAATACTTTTTTTTTTTTTTTAAGAAAAAGATTTCATTTATGTATTCCTGAGAGACACAGGTGACACATTTTCCATTACTCTTTATTATGCTTGATGTCTTATGGAAATTTTTGATGTTTTATGGAATTTTTTTCCATAGGTTCCCAGGAACCTAAGACCTGGGCACATCACATAAAACCAATTTCTGGCGGGGGCAAAAACAAAACAATCAAAACCCACAATAGGAAAAAAAAAAAAAAGAGGAAGTTAACACTGTCTGGGGCCATCATAGCAGAACCCAGAGAATATATTCTTTTAAAAAAATTTGGGGAGGACACTTGGGTGGCTCAGAGGTTAAGTGCCTGCCTTTGGCCCAGGGCGTGATCCTGGAGTCCCAGGATCGAGTCCCACATCAGGCTCCTTGCATGGAGCCTGCTTCTCCCTCTGCCTGTGTCTCTGCCTCTGTGTGTGTGTGTGTGTGTGTGTGTGTGTGTGTGTGCGTCTCATGAATAATTAAATAAAATCTTTAAATTTTTAAAAAAATATATTCTTTAATTGAGACATTCTAGGCACTTCCTAAAAAGATGGGACACTTCACGAATTTGCGTGTCATCCTTGCGCAGGGAAGATGCTCATCCTGTATTGCTCCAGTTGTAGTACGTGCACTGCAGAGGCGGGTACCCATGGACCTTATTATTTTTTTTAAGATTTTATTTACTTATTAATGAGAGAGAGAGACAGACAGAGACAGAGACAGAGAGGCAGAGACACAGGCAGAGGGAGAAGCAGGCTCCCTGCAGGGAGCCCGACATGGGACCCAATCCCAGGTCTCCAGGATTACACCCTGGGCTGAAGGCAGGCGCTAAACCACTGAGCCACCCAGGGATCCCAGGCACTCTACCCATGGCCCTTAAATGGGGATTCACAGATGGGGACAGAACATAGGGACAGAGGGAGCCCAGGCTTTGTTTCCAGAGCACCCACCTCCTGTGCGCTCCCCCTAAGGCGGGCAGGATGGGATGCACAGTGTCAGGGACTCTCCCGCTGTTGGTGGACAAAGTCATCAGATGCTGTGCAAACAGGGAAAGTCTGGTGGACAGACAGATCCACTGGTCCGGGGACAGGTCGTCAAACTCCGGCCCACGGACAGCCGCACGGGTCCCCAATGAGAGGTGGCGCTCTTCCCCAGGAGATCACCACGGCCACCTGCGGGCTGGGCCCAGGCCTGCCCCTCCTCCTGCCACTCGGCTACTTGCCTCTGATGGGCGGCAGATGTTCCGCATTAATGAGGGCGGGATGCTTCCCTCGGATGGCAAACTCCATTCAGCAGGAAGAGAAGAAGAAAGGGTGAAAAGGAGAAGAAGGAAGAAGGCAGAGGGTGGGGGGGAGGGAGAGAAATCCCTAGAACCTTCTGGTGTTTCGAGAAATGGTTGTACTCTCCTGGGGGCCGCCCTTAAAGCTAATTTGAACCGTTGGCTTCGGAAGGAGTGTGAGCAAGAGGTGCGCTGAGCTTTTGATTCTGCAGGTAGAAGCAGTTGGGTTGTTCGGCTAGGCTGCCGCTTTGGGCTTCCGTGCATCAGCTTCCTACGGGGCTCTAGAGGAGAAGGCCACATTCGTGGAGACTTTAAAAGGTACGAATGGTTTCTTAGTTTAAAAAAAAAATCTGGGAGTACTGTAAACAGAAATTAAAAACTTAGGATTTAATAAGCTGTGGTTCAACATCAACACAGAACTCCCAGAAAAAAAGGCACAAGGATTTGGTCCCCTGGTTTGAACGGATGATTTTACAGGATGCGTCTTTTTATACCTTTCAAGTAATGAATCTCTTTGTGGTCACGAAAGAAGGCTTGGAATTTTTTCCCTTGGCCTTGGAGCCAAGTTGGCTGCCGCTCTGTTGGCTTCCCAGGCCCGGTCAACTATCCAGCTGATGTATCAGAGTCCCCAGCTTGTGCTTGAATTCCTCCATAGATGGAGAACTCACTGTCTCTCCTGACGGCCCGCTTTGGACAGTGCTTCTTATTAGATCATTCCACTTCTATTAAAATGAAATTTGCTTCCTGAAGTCATTTATTTTTAATTCATAAAATAAAACAATACTTAAAAGAGCATTTTGGAGCATCTGCCGCATGTCAGGCCCTGTGAGGCCTTAGGAATAAAACGATAGGAAAATTATATATAGTTTAGCTGATCTTGTGGGATGTTTAGTCCCATCTGACGGATCTCAATTTTTTGCATCCTAATATTCCTAAGAAATGGGTCATGCTCCTATGGACAGCAATGGCGCTCAATACAATCAGCCCCTGGCGAAGTCGGTATGTGGTTGATGTCCTAGCAAGTGAGTGTCCCTGCAGGCTGGTAATCCTCAGCATCTCAGCAGAGAAAGGGGTCCCTAAATGACTCGACTTACCATCACGCCCTCATTGAAGAATTGCTGCTCTGAGGGTTTTAGATCTGTGGAAGTCCAGTCCCGCTTCAGCAGGAGGTCAGATCAAATATCTGAAGAAAACTGTCCTCTTCCCTCCCACCGTGATCACTTCTTCCAGCTAAAGCATGCCACAGAATTCAAACTATGATTATCGCATTCCTGAAGGAAGCTATGGGCTCAAAAAACGCAGTCGGTGGCAGCTGCAAAGGCATCCACACGTGTGCAAAGTGCAACTGGACCCATCAGGCCAAACCAACAGCTGAGGAATAAGAGAGGTGATGTGCAGGGGGAGGCCTGAGCTTCCAGTCGTGCCCCGTAGATGCGATCTTCCCCAGAGAGCATCGTCTCCAGTGACCAACCGAGAGCACAGGGAACACGGATAGAGACGGAGAGGTGGAGGTGCATAATGCCCCACCTTCTCACCTGCCTTCATTCTAAGGCACAACCGATTGTTCCTCGAGGGGGGTTAGAAAGCAGGTAGGGGAAAGCATGTCCTGTACCGTGGCAAAGTTAGGATTTAGAGACAGAGAAAGACAGAGGTTGGGGGGGGGGGGAGAAGAGGAAAGAAAGACAAGCTAAGATAAAAATCGTTCCAGCTTATATAGCTGGAATGTTTATAATGTAAAGAGACAGCTGCATTAAAGGATTAGACCCCACTGCCTGATTAACATCATTTGATCTTTTGCTATTGAAAAGACCCTGTGTATTTTCAAAGGCAGTGGGCTTCTTAAATAAAACCAGGAGTCTGGGCTAGCAGAGAGCTGTTAAAAAAAACAACTCACTTTTAGTTTAGCCATCTTTTTTTGTCCTACCTGCCTCATAATGTTTGGTTTCCTGCTTTTGTATTATTGGGGGGTTGCACCTAAGTCTGAAAATTGGGGCTCTGGGAAATTCGATATGGCAAAAAATAAGCATGAAAAAAATCACGATGACTTAAATTGGTCAGATCAGATTTTTCCCTGCCATGAATATCATCCTGGGGAGCTTCTTTTCGGTTTTGTTCTGAGTTTATTTTTTGTTTTTTATCCTTTTCTTTTCCATGGCCAACAATCACCACACAATTTCAGCGAGAGAGATTAGCACATCATTATACCATACCATTTTCATGTTATACTTTTTATACTTTTTATCTTGTTAATCTGTGTTTTTTGGTTTTTTTTGGGGGGGGAGTGAGTTTCTTTTTTCTTTTCTTCTTTTTTTTTTTTTTTTTTTTTTTTTTTTGCAAGTTTCAAGTGAGATCAGAACTCTTAGGGAATTAGAGACTGATCGTCAGGAAGCCAAAATTTTCCATTAGCCAACATGCGACACAACGTTGGTGGGAGGATTCGGAGCATCTCCACATCCACGCTGTCATCCCAGGGTGGCCGGGCAAAGAGGTGGGAGGGCCTCTGGTCATTTGAGAGGACCAAGCAGTCGTCATAACTGGTTCAGTCTCTGTGGCCCATTCAGCTCTTGGCATTGCTGCCAAGCCAGCCAACAAAGGAGCATTGTAATCCTGACAGTTTCCCAGCATTGACTGGACAGGCGCAGACCACCAACCAGCTCCCTACGCTTCTACTGTTCACAAGTGAGACCATGAATGGAAAAAAGTCAGTGGCAAAAATCCCACATCCTGCTGAAGTTGGTGTGTAGATGCTTTTCTAGCAAATGAGTCTCCCTCCAGGCTGGTAATCCTCATACCTGTTTCCTTTTTCTTTTGTGTTTGTTTGTTTTTGAATATAGAGTTAGCTTGAATGATAATGGATAATCTTCATTGAGGCCTACCAAAAAATTAGGTTTTGAAAAAATAAGCATAGGGTATGCAATAATATGGAAAGTGGGAAGTGTAACAAAAGTGAAATGTCATAAATGTAAAAAGGATAAATTGAGATGAGCTTCTGAGTTAAGAAGTTAGCGGCAGAAGCCACAATGATTCTTAAGAAATTGAATTTGAGGGTGTAAGAATATGGTTTTCAGGTATAAAATGGAATTGTTTTAACTCAAGTTCAAATTGTGACTACGCACCATACAGTCTGCCCTTTTTGTACACCAGGCCAAGGACATCTCCAACTCTGATTAAAAAAAAAAAAAAAAAAGAATAAAATGTTTAAATGCAGTGTAAATTCAAAGATATTATCATGTATTTACCACTGATTGTAAGTCAGGAAGTATTTTTAACAATCAGATAAAATGATCTTTTCATACATTCCATGGTAAATGTGGCAAAATTTTACTTGTTTAAATCACCTTTTCAAAAATGAGTACGGATTCCAGCAATGGGATGCCACGTTTACTTGCCAGTTATCATGATATTCAAAGAAATGACAGTGCACCATGCTGGTGGTGGAGGTGAAATAAAAATTTGGTGTTTAAGCTGAACCCACAGTTTTAGAAAGCAACGTAGTTGAACCATCGTAGTACATCTGTCCCTTAGATTCAGTTATCCTACCTCTTACAATATTTTTGTGTCTATTTATTATATACATATATGCATAATATAACATTGAAGGCAAAATAAGAAAATAAAGGCAGTTTTATTCATCAACCAAAACAAAAACAAAAACAAAAACAAAAGCAAAACAAACAACTGGAAGACACAAAGCCCACAAGCAAAATGAGAACAATAGAGTTACTTTGTAAGTGAATTGCTATCCCAAAGACCTTTTACATGATAAGATACTATGTAGCTATTAAAATGGATTGTGTCTGAGGATTCTTTTTTTTTTTTTTTTAAGATTTTATTTCTTTATTCATGATAGAGAGAGAGAGGCAGAGCGAGAAGCAGGCTCCATGCAGGGAGCCCAATGTGGGACTCGATCCCAGGACTCGGGGATCGCGCCCTGGGCCAAAGGCAGGTGCTAAACCGCTGAGCCACCCAGGGATCCCATGTCTGAGGATTCTTAATACTGTGGGAGAATGCTTATAGGAATGTTAGGTGCTGTGATTGAATAATTGGTAATGATCTTAGTGTGCAAAAGTGCAATGAAACACTGTTGGTCATTGTCTTGGTCGGCAGGATTATGGTTGATTTTTCATTGTGACATTTCCATATTTTGAAAATCACTGCCAAAGGACATAGACCATCTTTTGTAATCATTTAAAATCTTATTTAAAAAAACCAAAACACCTTTCTGCTACTGTAAAAAGACTCTCCAAACCTCTAAATGTCCATCTCCTTTATCCCTACAGATTATTTTACTAAAACATGATACAAATGACTCGATACTTTGACATGTTACCAGGAAGTCCTGCCCAGACAAATTTGGGTGCTGAGTAG